TCCAGTCGTTGGGGTTTTCCTCCTCACTGACTGAAAGTGTTTCTCCTGTCAAGTGAGAGGGACTCCCAAACCCCCTTCATACATGAGGAGTGGTTTGGGGAGTCGACTCCCAAAAAAAATAAAAAAAAATGAAAATGAAATAGGGCGGACGACTCCCAGGGAGTTGCTCCCACTTGACCGGAAGGAACCCCTCCTGGTCAAGTGGGAGCGACTCCCAAACCCCCTCATACATGAGGAGTGGTTTGGGGAGTCGACTCCCAAAAAAATAAATAAAAATAAATAAAAATAAATGAAAATGAAATAGGGCGGACGACTCCCAGAATCCGCCCACACTTTAGAAGACGACTCCCAATGGACTTCTGCTGACGGTCGTTGGGAGTTGTTGGCAAAAAAAGGGAGTTGTTTTTCCCAGTCCCAAAATAAATTCTGGGTTGGTTCCAAAAACATAGAGGCTCAGAATGTTGTATCATTGACATCCAGGATTTCTACATTAGCCACTGCCACACAGGCCCTTTTATCCTGTGGTTTGTCTGTGAGAGAAGCTACACAAGAATGATAGCAATTTCTTTTGTCAGAAATTTCATTTCTGACAAAAGAAATTGCTATCTATTTGTAGAACATTGAAAATGAGTTGTCCATGGTACACCATCTTGGGAAGCTTCAATTTCTGAGTTGAAAACTGGAAATTGACCCAAAAATTGGGGCTGTGGTACAGGCCCTGAGTTTGATTTTGATTTGATAAAACCTTTTTGAAATTTTTAATTTTTTACCCATGGAATTTTTGACAGGAATTTCAGTATCTTCCAACTGTCTTGGCTCAACAATTTAGCCCGCAGTTTGACAACATCTTCTGTACTCTCCTTATTTGAAGATTATCTTGAAGGGACATCTGAAAGGAGCAGTCATGCCCCCCCCCCCACCTGCAATTCTAGTGTCTGGAAGTGCAGAGGGACTGTTTTGAAAGCTTGAAAGGTACCCCCCAGTAGGTGCCAAGTGGCATCTCTAGTCCAGCTAGTAACAGCTACACTTTTTTCCGGCTTGCTGCTAGCAGTATTTTTCTAATGCATGCTGAGGAGCTCAAAATTTTCATGACGACTGCTGCCAACATAGCCCAAACTGACACAGCATTATTTTGGACCAATATCGCATCTCGGTCAGTGGTCCCAGTTGTGGGCCACGCTGCATGCTGAGCAATTGACAAGAATGCAGCCCTGCTGAACTTTTGTTACAGCCCATTCTTTCTTGTAAGATCAGGGACTTCTTTTTGCCATCATCATCATTCTTCTTGGCTGACTAGAAGATGGCCCTCCTTATCGTTGTTGTATGTAACATCAGACCCTGGAGACGCCGTCAAATGCCGATTATGTAGCTGCGAGAAATAAACACGCTGCGGAATATTCTTTTGTGATATGTTACACAGCTGTGTGACATGTCACAGATTGGCAGCACTCTCGATAAGCCTGAGTGGTGTATTGTTTCAGCTTTTCCGATTTTTTTTTTTTTTTTTTTCGTTTCTCCTTTCGAGTCGTCCGTCGCAGCAGGATCCTCATCTACCATCTCAACAACCTCACTCACACTCCACCATTAAACCAAACCATTCCACTCGGTCATCAACAAACTCATTTGACCGGCTCCGCAGAAAAGCTGTCTCCCATTCCACATCGATTTCACCTGTTTTCAATCATCCCCATTTCAAGCTGTCTTCCTTGTAAGCCCTGCCATTTTCCTACAAACTTCGCGCAGAGAGCTAACCTTTTTTTTTCTCTCTTTTTTTGATTGGTTCCGTATCTTTCCCGCTCTGTTAGCATCCAGCCTCATCAGTTTCATCCGAACCAATTCAAAACTTGAGGATCCTTCTCTGATCGAGAAAGGTTGACAATCGATCCATCATGGCCGTCGGAATCGTCAATATCGGCAAAGATGCCCGTGGAGATATGTTCCATCGTTACAAGATGCCTGTCTTGCAAGTCAAAGTCGAAGGCAAGGGTAACGGGATCAAAACGGGTGCGTACTCCTGATTTTTTTCATCCACTTTACCTCGTTTGATTTGATTGTTTTCGTACGGCGTTATTAGTGATTCCTAACATGTCCGACATCGCCCGTGCGTTGGCTCGACCACCCACCTGTAAGCAAATCTTGCTCATTTGTTTGTGCGCTTTGTTGTCAAGTACTAACATATTGATGTATGATTGGTTTGATCTCAGACACTACCAAGTTTTTTGGTTGTGAACTTGGTGCTCAAACCACATTTGACGAGAAGTACGACCGATACATCGTCAATGGTGCCCACCAGGCCGACCGACTCCGGGAGCTGTTGGATGTATTCATCGACAAGTTTGTGCTCTGCTCGAGCTGCAAGAATCCCGAGACTGAGCTGATGATCGTCGGACGGGATGAGCTGATCTGGCGGGACTGTAAGGCGTGCGGCCATCGAGGGCATGTCGACAACCGACACAAGCTATGTACTTTCATCTTGAAAAACCCGCCAGAGTCGTCCAAGAAGAAGTCGAAGCGAGACAAGAAGGCTGCCAAGGCAGGCGAGACCGGCAGTGCCCCTGCCGAGGGCGGCTCCTCTGATGACGGCCATAACAGCCAGGACGAGCTTACGAAGCGGATTGAAGGCGAGGCGGTCGACGAGAAGACAGCCGAGGCGACCTCGACACTTAAGGATGATGACTGGTCAGCGGACACCTCGGCCGGTGCAGTCAAGGCGCGCATGAAATCCCTCGAAGCTGGGATCCAGAATGGACTGAGTCTGGCTGACGAAGACGATGAGGAAAACCCCGGAGGACCCTATGGGATTTTCAGTGAATGGATCCTCACCAACCGTGACTCGGTCTCGGATCCCGAGATCCTTGTCAAGGCTAAAGAGCTTGGGATCGAGAAGAAACACAAGACCGTTCAGATCCTGGCTCAGAACTTGTTCAGCGAGAATGCAGTCAAAGAAGTCCCGAAGCATCATGCCCTTTTTGCCAAGGTGAAGTTTTTCCTTGTTTCTCTCACTTCTTTAGGGTGGTCTCTGATCGTGCTGCTCGGGACATTTGTGGACAGATGGTTAACAGTGAAAAACACCAGAAAGCTCTGCTCGGAGGGATCGAGCAGTTGTGTGGGGAAGCCTATCCGAGCTTAGTTCCCTTGGGTGTACCAAAGATTATTATGGAGTTCTACCAGGCCGACATCTTAGAGGAAGATGTAATCAAGCAATGGGGCACTCATGTTTCTAAGAAAGTTAGTCGCTCCCTGCTGCTCCCTCTAATTTATTACTCAATGTTAATTTTTTTATTTGATCTGGATGACTATCAAGTACGTGGACAAGGAGGTCAGCAAAAGAGTCAGACGGGCCTGCGAACCTTTGTTGAAGTGGCTCGACGAGGCCGAAGCTGAGGATGACGAAGATGAAGAATGAAGGATTTGCGGTCTCCTAGGTGGTCTTATCATACTTCAACTAAACATACATACTTGAATCTTTTTTAGCTCTCCCCCACTTTCTCTCACTCTTTCTACCTCACTTTTTTTTTCTCTTTTTCCTCACTCTCTCTCGTCAATGTGTGGTTTTTTTTTCTTCTCTCTCCTTGCATGCATAATTTCAAATTCTTTCTGGGCAATGTCAATCTCATCCATCATATTTTCTTGCCAGTACAAAGATTGGTTGAAACATCAGCCAAGATGTTTCACCAAGTCGAGAAGCAGCGTGGCAATTCCCTGACATGAGCGTAATCCATCTAGTTATTACACGAGGGACAGTCTGATGTGTTGGAAAAAATGTGTATGTATTCAGTTTGTGCGCATGTGTGTGAGATCCTTATGAGATTCTGAAAGCAAAGAGCGACTGACAAAGTACGTGCGAGTTGACTTCGTCATCTGAGTATCTGCAGTTATACCAGTTACCATCCTTGCGAGATTGGACAGCTATCACCCAAATAAAACTATAAGCAGATGCTTGGAAAGTGCTTATATTTGATTTAATATGGTAAAGATTTACCAACATATCCATACTTGTGGTACTGGTAATATTGGATTGGAGCTACTTCAGCTGGATATGATTTTATGTGGTCGTTGAAGCAAATCTTGAACTTGAAGTTTTCGTCTGATGTCGGTTCATCGCAACGTCGCACGGCAGAAACAATTAAGAGTCATCAATCTTTTCAGACATCAATACGTCTTTACGAGTAAATGGCAACCCGGCTTACACTTGGTACCACTTTGAGGGTCGTAGCAGTCATCAAAGTGGCAAGGGTGATCTACACCGTTAGCGTCCCCGCAGGCTGCGATTAAAGAGAAAAACAAAAATCCAATGCGGTTAGGAGTTGCTCGTCAAGTTTACTCTTTGATGTGGTACAATAATCATTCTTGATACGTGAATCGTGATCGGTTGATGCTTACAGGCGAACGGATGTTTCTTAGGATCATCAAGGAAGTGAGTGGCACATGTTTGTGGCGTAAGAGCTGCAACCGGACTCGAGTGGAGCGCGATCGTAAGGGCTAAGACTGCCACCAAGCCGATGTATGCCTTCTGGTAAAAGATCATGAGGGACATTGGTAATAATAATGTTGTCAATAGGACGAGTCGATAAGATAATCAGAGCTGGACTCTGTTTGGGAAATATAGATGGGATGGGGAGGTTGGGATTGGTCTTAGCCAGCTGGGCGTTGATGCCGTTGGATCCAAGGCTATTTGTATCTCTTGTCTTTCCTGAACCGTGCCACATACTCGATTCATCCCACTCTTCTCGCAGCTTCCGGACTCCGGCTTTAATCTGATTACCCGTTGGGCCGCCATAAAGATGGCGGGCTGGCTGGGCCGCCACCAATATTGGTGCCACATCCACAGGCCACAGCCTGACTTCACTTGTATGAATTGAGGATGACGCGCCCCGGCCCTAGCTTGCAAACACAAGCCACACCTTACATAAACGAAATATTCGACCGTTGATTCGGCTGAAGCTTATAGATAGCATGCGGGTCAAGATGTTTCCATGGCAAGAGGCTGTATGTACACGCCGGGAGCGGCGCGGTTGTGGATCCATACATACTCTGTAGATGATACTTCTCAATTGCTTGACTGTTTTCAACATCTCAGGCCCCAATTATAAACAAGTTTTTCGAATATATTTGAAATAATTTGAAAACTATTGCAAGTGTCTTTTGGTTTTTTTTTTTCGATTTCTTTTTCGTCTCAAGACTGAGCTCAAAACCTCTCAAACCGCCTGTGGAGGTGGATTGACTCTCAAAAAGCTCACATAAAGAAACAATACAAGTCTTTGCACCTATAGTTCCCTGTATCGTAGCTGATACACGGATGTATGATTTAGGGGCTTGGTTAAACGACTCCCAAAAAGTGGAGAGCCGACTCCCAAGCCCCGGAATCCCCAAATTTTGGGAGTCGAACCCCCAAAAACCTTTGACTGGTTTGGGAGTCAACTCCCAAAAAAAAATATTTTAAAAAAAACCATCCCCTGGTCGGTTTAAGAGTTGATCCTCCAAAACCGGCCAGGGTTTGGGGGTCAACAAAGCAAAAGACCCATGGAAGCGGGGCCGGGAGGATTCTTCCTGGCCGCTGGAAGTACACTTCCGATGGCGGAGGGAAAAAACCTTGGCCCTCGACCGCTGAGAGTACACTCTCAATGGCCAAGGGTATACCTCTCAGCCATCGAGGGTATACACCTTGTTGAAAATTCACTCGATCACTCTCTTTTCTTTTTACATATTTTCTTATTCATTATTGCTGTTCTTTCTTTATTCAAAATGCTGCTCCCACATCTTGACCATATTGTATCTAGACTACTTAAATCATCTAGATGCGAAGAAATTACACTTATTGGTTCTTTATTATTTTTTTGACCGTTCCTGAAGGAAGCACTTTAGCCCTTCCCTCAGTCTATCTGTGAGCACTTGAGCCCTCTCAGTTGGAACATAAAAATTATTTTATTTGGCTATTAGCCCATTTTTTCAACACACCTCAATGGCCAAGAGGATTCCTCTCGGCCGTCGAGGGTAGAATTACACTCTCAACGGCCGAGGAGGATTCCCTTGGCCGTTGAGAGTGTAATTCTACCCTTGATGGCCAAGAGGAATCCTCTCGGCCGCTGATTGCGCTTCTCAATGGCCAAGAGTGTAGGTACCTCTTGGCCATCAAGAGTGTACTCTCAGCGGCCGAGGGCCAAGGGAAACTAGCGGCTGAGGTGTTTTCCCCCGACCGTCGGGAGTGTACTTCCAGCGGCCGGGAAGAATCCTCCCAGCCGCTTCCGTGGGTCTTTTGCTTTGTCGACCCACAAACCCTGGCCGGTTTTGGAGGATCAACTCTTACACTGGCCAGGGGATTCCTCCTGACCAACGGCCCCAGCCGGTCTGACTATCCGGACTTGACTGGTGTACCAATCGAGTTCATCTACCGCCGGTATCTGGCCTTACAGAGGAACATAACTTGATTGATGAGTAATCCTACATTTGAATAATTACCATGTGTTCTACTTGAATTCCCAGTAGTCATACATCATCTGCAATTAAGCAAAGGCCGACCTTGCCTTTTTGGCCGGCAAGACAGCATGCAGTCCCTGAGACCGCTCGCGCAGCTTCAGGTTCCTAAGCTTGACTTGGGCCCTGAATGATTCTGCTTGTTTGTCTGTGAGATGGATGCCCGAGTTCTGGGGCTACAAAAGCGCGATGTTTATAATTGTACATAGTGTTTGAGTGTATTTTGAAATAATATTCTAACTTTTTTTCTTCTTCTTTTTCATTTCTTTTCCATTTTCGAATGGTTTTCAAATAGAAAAACCAAAATTTGGAAAATTTGGTTTATAATTGGGGCCTTAGGCTTTAGCACACATGAGCATTTTAAATACGCTTGAATTTGAGTTTATTACTTCGCCAATAAAAAATATCTACCTCATTCATCAAATGGAATAATAAAAGCAAGATGACTACATTACAAGCGAGCATTTGAGCTTATGGATTGAGGTGTCTTGAGGAGAATTGCAGCACTTATGGCCAGCTTTCATCAATTCCAAAGAACATTTTTATTGTCCCAATTATTCAACAAATGGCGACAACATCACCTGCCCGCCAGTAACAATGGAGCTCAGTGAAAGCTTTGTGCCGGCAGTCCCAATCGGGGACGCCTCACTACTGTCTGTTAGCTCTCGGAGATTCCAATGGTCCATCTACGCTGTGCTCCCACTGGGAGGGTCAGAATCGGGATACACAACAACGGGCTTCCTTGACTATCTACCAATGGAGTGTACGATTTGGCTGGGTTTCAATGAGCAACAGTTTTCAAATATTCAATACAGCTGTTCCCAAAAACATTGCGGTTTTGGGAGTCCTGTATTTCATAAGAAAAATTTTAGCGCCACCAATTCTTCTTCTCAGTGTCGCAGTACATGGCGTTGAACTGAGTGACAAAATTGTCATGCTTGATAGTCTCAGTCTTGCACATTACCTTCCTCATCCACGGTTGGGCCCACAAGCTGGCCGGGCCAGTCAAGTAGGACAGAATGAAGACCATAATGGCACGATCGGTGCTCAAGAGGTGTTGGTTGGCCAGGATATAGAGGTTTACCTGCTTAATGAAAACCTCCGCTTTAGCCCCGTGAGTGCCGTCAAACTTGTTGGGGGCACCAATCTTGAGGCCTTTGACCGGCGCAGTTGGAGCTTGCGGTGGGATGTTGGTGGTTGCCACGGTTGCCACCAGTTCGGCCTCCTTCTTGGCCAATTGCGCCTCCAACTCCTTCCTGGCCTTGCGCTCCTCGTTTACCACCGTCACAAGTTCGGCCAGTTGTGCCTGGACCTTGGCAAGCTTGGCATCCTTTGGGTCTGTAAGGTCTGGATATGAAACTAGAAGGAAATTCTAGTACTATTCCTGTCCTAATAATTTTTTGTTAGTAATTTTTTATTAAATTTTAAAGTTTGAAGTGTATTTAAACTTACAAAAAAAGGGATTGTTGGTTAAACAATCAAAGAAATTATAACCTCACAATATTACTTGTTAAGAGGCCTAGAGTTGAGTTTTAATCAATACTCTGAATTCCAAAGGAGGAATTGAGGAAGGGTGAATTGTTTGTTAGACAATAGATCACAAGGAGTTCGTCCAAAAAGGTCTTTTGGATGAGTTGAGGATTCCTGGGCAATTTCTAGAGCAATACTTCTGCAACAGAAAGTAAGAAAATGGCCAATTTTAAAGGAATAAGGAGCTGGGATCTTTTAAGGGCAAAGGCTACAGGTTAAGGCTGAAGGTAGCAGTAAAAGAGGAGCTCTGTTTCGTGGTTGGAATGCTAAGGTTGATAAAAGAAATGGTTGGAAATGCTGGCTTCAAGTATATAGTAGTATATATGGTGAAGTGGGTGAATTTCTGAGGTTTAAGCACTCAATAAAGGAGTCCTTATATAGCCACACACCTGAAGGTGGCTTGCAGTGCATTTTTGCACGATGACACTGATGCTTTGGGTTTGTTTGGCTGGGTGTAAGCCATGCCCAAGGCCTTGGTTATCAGTATCCCAAAGGCTGAAACAGTTGTAACTGTAACCACGGGTACAGCTACCCAGTCAGGAAGTAATGATGCAATGCCAAGTTATTGCTAGGGTTCTATATGCCCAAAGGAGACTTTTTGTTTCGTCTCTAATCCATTTTGGAGGGATTTGGTTGAGGTGTTCTGATATGTACTGGCTCAGAACAGGTTGAACTACTTGGGCCAGATTGAAATGGGCCAATTCTCAACCCTGTTGATTTCAAACTGGACCAGGGTTGTTCTGGTGGATGGCTGATGTAAGAGGATATTCTGAGTTCGCTCAGAAAGGTTATTAAGGTTAGGGATAAACAAAACAGGTTACATGACCAAGTGGCTGGTCAGGGTTCAGAATATGTGGTCTAAACTGGTCACTTGGTTATAGTTGATGAGCTACAAGGTTGTACATGTTGCACAAGCCTTGGAACCTTGTTTATCTTGAGTTCGCATCCAATGAACTTTGTTTATGTCATCAGCTGATTTGGTTCTGTAACTTTAAATGTCTGTAACTCTTTAGTTATTGATTATTTTACAGAATTCTTTGTTTTTTGAGTATGTAGTTACGCAGTGGTATGTAACTACATGAATTTTGTTTTTATTTTCTAAGTAAAGTAAAAAAGTTTATTTTTATTTTTAAAGGCCTTTGTGGTCATTTGCAGGCTTTTGACCATATATACTTTTATATATAGATTTTTATGCTTAATATTAATTTATTATTTATAATATTTTTTCTTGGGCTAGTCTTGAGACTTGACTATGAGTTGTGATTGTTATTTTTATTATTTAATATTTTGAGGCCTATGGGTATGTATATACCTCAAGGCTGACAGGGTCTATGTTCATAGCAAAACAGTGCGGGGCGGCTCACAGAGTGGAAGGTAATGCTTTGACGGTGTGTAGTGACTTCGGAAGGTGCAACTCAAATTGTGGAGGCTTACTTTTGTACTTTTACGCCTTGCCAAACGGCTCTTGTGAGCTCTCTTTGGGGTTCTGGAGTGTCTCGGGGGTGTTCCCGGGGTCTTTCAGGGGGTGTTCTGGGTTTCTGGGGCAGTTCTTGGGGGCTCTTGGGGTGTCTGAGGGGGTTCTGGGGTCTTTCTGGAGGATTACTGGGGGTTCTGGGGTTCTGATGGTTCCGAGGGCCTGGGTATCCTCCTTTGGGTCCTGGGGGGTTGATCAGGGGTCTTACAGGGGGGCTTGGGGTTCTGAAGGTCCTCCACTCCTCTTTTCTTGGGGTTTTGGGGCTTAGATGAGGCTGCGGGGTGCTCTGAGGGGCCTCTTGAGGGCTCTGGGGCGCTCTGGCAGGTCGTTTGGGGGCCTTGGGGCGCGCTGGGGGGGGTCTTTAGGATTCTAGGGGCGCACTGGGGCGTCCTGGGGCGCTTCGCTGTGCTGCGGGGGCCTTGGGAGGCGTTCAGAAGGCCGCTGAAGCCTTGGGGAGCGTTTAGGGGCATAGGGGGTCTCCCTGGGCTGTCCAAAAACAATCTGAGGGGTCTAGGAGTCGTTCCAAGCGCAATCCGAGCGTTCCAAACAATATCCAAGGGTCCTGGGCCTGTTCCGAGGGCCCTACGACAATCCGACAAAAAAAACGAATGATCCAACGCAATCTGACAAAAAACACAAAAAAACGACCTCTTGGGGGGTCCTGAGGGGTCTGTGAGGGTGAGAGGGAGGTAGGGAGTGAGTTTTAAAGGTTGATAGACAAGGTCTGAGAGAAGTTCAAGGGAAGGATTAGCAAGGTTTGAGAGGTGAGTTTTCAGGGTTAATTTTCTAGGTCTGAGGAGTGGTGTTCTGGGTGTTTTGTTCCTGGTATCCGTGTAAGTTGATCTTGCAATATGTTATGGGTGTTCTGGGGAGAGCAGGTGATGGATCTTCAGGGTTCTCAGTCTTGATGGTAGATTGCAAGATGAGGAATGTACAAGGTGTGGATCTTGAACAAACTCCAAGTTTGAAGTTCGTGACATGTACGTAACAGGCTCTCTACATATGTAACGTCCCCAGTTCCAATCCTCCACAGCTCATAACATAAATTCAGTGATTTACAGAAAATAGTGGGATTCAAAGTTGATTTTTAAACAGGACTCTACATAACTTCACAAGGTCTAGAGGTTCAAAATTTCAGTTTTCTGAAACTTCTGGTTCCTCTTTGTTTGGAACATTTCCCAAAAATTCTGTTATCTTGATGATGTTGTGTAGAATTTTGTTCAAAATAAACTTTGAAACCCCCTAATAAAATCAAGGGTTCCCCCTTACAAATGCCTAAAATACAAAAAAAAATCAAAGGGTTCTCCTCCCAATAGTAAAAAGAAAAAAGACACAAATTCAAGCTGAATACAATGAATTTTTACAAAAAATTGAGAAGAAAAAAATAGCCCCCCAACACCAGCAAAGCTGGAGCACTTGGACTCAGAGGCCAGCCCATGTCTAGCATGGGTCAAAACCTCTTGGCATGAAGGCCCCCAGCTGAATGCAAAGGCAGACAACAAGTGTGGGGACAGCTTGTTAGCCCCTCATACTGTGCAATTGCAACAGCGGAGGGGGATGAGAGCGCGTCAGCAGTTGGAATTACAACCCTTGGACGCCTGGAGGCAATACCACCTGCAGCTGAGCTCCCCTTTTATATACATATCTTAACAAGCTGCTCTCCCCTCTCACCATTAACCTGGGCCAACCCACAACGGTCCAAGGCTCTAAAAACCCTTGGAAACCATCCCCATAATCCATTGCCAACTTCCAAATTTGTCACATGTTTTATAGCCCAAAATTGTGCCACTGTAACTAATCTCTCTACAGGTTGTCTTTTTCAGCCCGGTATAAACAAAACAGGACTACAGCGTTAAGACCATATAACAAGCCAAATCTGACCGTCGAAAGTCTCTGCACAATCCTTGTCATCTTCCACTTGCGTAAGGTTACCCCTTGCCAGCTGAAAAAAAGTCAAGGTAAGCCTCTTGACGTTGCTTCAACTCAGCCATCACCCCCATTTAATTAACATTCCTGTCAATGATTTAGACGGTTGCCAGCTGAGCATCTCAGTCCGCCAAGGTTTCAAGGCTTGGGAAGCATGCAAAACCACAATCAGTTGAATCAACACAAAATAGACAAACAGATTTTCTATCAACTGCTGAACTCTCTTGAGCCAGTTAATGTTGTTGTTGGTGTCTTCTCAGTCAACTCGGCCGATGAACACCGCCATCTCATCAGATCTACCTGTGCCTGTCACTTGCGACCCATTGACCTGCACCCGTCCGGCACTTGAACAAGCCACAGCTCTTTGATGCCTCTGCCACAGACTCAACCTGTGCCACCATCACCAATATCAAACAGCTTGAACGAGTTATTTGAACAGGCCAAGATTTGGTTCATTACCCTCTCTCAACCTGTATCTCAATCAAAGCCCAAATGCCTACATACCTACATATTCACCCCCTCTACTGCTTCTCTTTCTTGACACACTACACACTCACACAGATAGATTGGAGTCCCCAGAAATACTAATAGGAAGAATGAATAGATAATGGAAAGGAAAAAATTAGAAAAAAAAACTTACGGAAGCCAGAATTGAAATCAAATGTTTAAGATATGAGAGCAACTATAGAGACTAAAGAAGGCGGAATCAATTAGGAAATCACAGTGGGCCTCTTGGTTTGCACTTGAGTTGTGTTACCTCATTTACTCTGGCTCAGAGCTTAGCCGAGTGTGTGCCCTCTGAAAGATTTTGAAACTGAAGGCAGTACTGATCTGATAGCTTTTTAGGTATAATACTTAATAATGGGAATTGCCTTTGAATAGACTAATTTATTCAGTTGAGGATAATGATAACAGTTTGGATAACAAAAATAAATTTCTTGTCTTAAGAAATTATTAGTTAATCCTTTTTGTTCAATGAGTCAACTAACGGCGGAAAGATACGAGTAATAAGTTTGTGTTCAATAGGCTTGTTCAAGTAAGAGCTAAAGATTTTAATGATGATGTTGTAGAACCAAGAATTAGAACTTGATCATTCTCTTGTTCTCATTCTTTGTTCTCTTGATTCAACTCATCGAGACTCACCTAGAGCTTGATGATCGATCATGATCATCATTCATTTCTTTGCTAGTGACGTCAATGACATCATTGCTCGGCACATAAGCTTTAATCACACCTTTCTCTTGTTCAACTTCTGAACAGCTTATTTCTGCTGATAATCACACGTTTCGTGATCAGCGCTAATAATTTATTATTCTCTTCAGGAAGTTTATCAATCATGCGATAAACTCACCTGATGCTCTCCTCTTTTGAGGGATCAGACAAGGAATTGAATTCCAACAGTCCTCCGTGCTTTGTGTCGCAAGATTCGAAGCAGTCTTTGACTGGGATTGATAAGCAATGCCTAACTCCTTCAATGATCTTCTAATTGTACATTGTCCCACAGCTTTAGTCAAAACGTTGGCTGGATTTTGATTTGATTTAATGTATAGTAAGTTGAGTAAGTTAGATTGAACATGTTTGCGAACGAAGTGAAGTCAAATATTCATATGCTTTGTTCGAAATCCGTTTTGAGCAGTTTTGCTGTTTGCTAAATCTATAGCCGCTTTATTATCGACAAAGACTTGAATTTTTGAAGGACTTTTCAAAACTTTTGTTTCATTCACCAAACTAGTTATCCAAACCATTTCCCTACTTAAATCAGACAATGATTTATACTCTGCTTTGGCGGAGGATAGAGAAACGGTATCTTGCTTGTTTGATTTCCAAGAAAGCAAATGATGACCGGCCATCGCAACATATCCCGTGACTGATCGACGAGTAATGAGACAGTTGCCCCAATATGCATCAACATAGGCCCTTAATCTTGAATCTTCCTGCTTTTGATACAAAAGTCCTATTTCACAAGTACCAGAGATGTATCAAAACACTTGCTCGGCCGCTTGATAGTGCGACAATCCTGGATTTTCCAAGAATTGGGATAAGGCGCTGACGGCATATGAAATATCCGGTCGTGTGAGAATACTGAGGTAGTTAAGTGAGCCCACTATTGATCGATAATTCAGATTAAGATTCTTCAAGGCTTCTTGATCTTCTTTAGTTGCTTTATTGAATTAAACTCGTGGACTGAGTGGACACGATGCGGGATAAGCGTCTTGTAGGTTGAATTGAACAAGCTTTCTTTCAATATATTGTAACTGATTAATCTTTACCAATCCCTTGAATCTAGTTATATTCATACCAAGAAGGAATTCTGCGTTTCCTAAATATTTAATGGCGAATTCTTTCTCTATCTCTCCTTTAAATACTAAAGGATCTGAACTGATAATGACAAGATCGTCAACATGAGCATAGATCCAAGTCATTGGTTGTCCTAACTGTTGAGTTTGCCAGAAAACACAAGGATCTGATACAGAGATATTAAAGCCGATTGATTTTAAGAAGTTTGACAATCTTTTGTACCAGACGAGTGGCGCTTGCCGTAATCCATAGACTGCCTTGCGTAATTCAAAGACCGTGTCTTCTTCTCCACTATAGCCTGGTGGTGGAAGAACCGTCACCTTGTCATCCAGAGGACAAGTAAGAAAAGCGCTTCAAACGTCAAGCTGATAAATTTTCAAGTCATTATTGACTGCAAAAGAGATAAGAAGTCGCAAAGAGCACGGTTTTCCTGTTGGTGCGTATTTAGCAAAGTAATCGAGTCCAAAAGATTGTCAAAAACCTTGAACGCATATACGCGCCTTAAACTCGGTTACTTCATTGTTAGAACCAAGCTTCTTTCGAAAAGCCCAAGTCAAAGGAATCGGTGAGTCTTCTTTCTTTCTTTTTCATACAAGCCACGCCTTGTGAGATTCCATTTTTTCATACTCCTTTTTCTCCGCTTGTTTCCATTCCTCAATTTCTTCTCCTTTCATTGCTTGAAAATGTGTCTTTGGCGCCAAAGTAATAAGAGCGGTTTGTCTTGAGTAGTTAAGAATATTTGATTCATCAATGTTACTAGAAATAGTTTTACTTGAATCTTGGTTACTGTCATTGTCAAGTTGTTTTTCCGCAATAACTTCTTCTTCAAACAATTCCTGCGAACAAATGTTTTCTTCTTCTTCCGTTGGCAGAGAATCTTCTTCAAATGGCAAGGATGCTGCCTTTTTGAAGCTTGGAAGATTGTTTGATGTATCTAAGTTATTGATACTCTTTTGTAAGGCTGGACAAGAAGGAAAAACTCCTTCTTCAAAATGAGCGTGCTTGACATTAATGATTTGAAGGTTGTCGAGTCGAACAACTTTATACGTTGAACAATCATTTGCATAACAGATCAAGACGCCTTCCCCAGCCAGTGAGTCAAACTTTTGATCATGGTGAACTTCAGGTTTTAGAGACCAAACTTTACAGCCAAACGGACAAAAAATCTTAATGTTCGGCTTCTTTTTGAATAAGAGTTCAATTGGAGAAGTACGACTTCTAGAAAGAGAAGGTAAACAGTTAGTAA